ATATATATATATATATATATATATATATATATATATATATATATATATATATATATATATATATATATATATATATATATATATATATATATATATATATATATATATATATATATATATATATATATATATATATTATTATATTATTAGCGATCATTCAGTACATTAATGCTGTCAGAATAATTACCATTATACATTTTTTTTTTATTCATTTTTTCCATCTAAAAAATCAGCCTTTCGCATGCTTAGTTAATGCCTTTACCTAATTTGCATACTGCTGATATATGCAAATTAGACAAAGGCATTAATTACGCATGCAAGTAGTTAAAGGGCTTAAACTAAAGCAAATTGTCTGACATTTTGTACAGTAATTAAAAACCCGACGCATTTTCCATCTATTAACTCAAAATATGATTAAAGCTTTTAAATTTCGTGCTCAAGCCAATTTTAGTTTGTTGGAAAAGACACCCCCGTCCCGGTCACAAAATTTGAGGTCGAGAAATTTTTTTCCATTATTCTACATTATAAGTAGCCAAAGAAGCCATATATGTAAAAAAAACCTGGATACTGATAGCTGTTTTGCGAAATTGAGAGCAAATTCAAATCTGTTCAGGTTTTTTTATACACCCTGTATATCTATACAAACACGTTCAGCTCAATACAGTCGGCCTTTCTAATTATTAGACTTTTCATTGTCACTCTCCTCCGCAGATGCTTTGTAGTTTGTTTTCTTTGTTTTTTATTCACCCCCTGAAAATATTGAAAATGACGTAAACGCCTCTCATAACCGCATTGGCCAGGACCACACGAGGTCTCACTTCATGCTAATTTAGCGTAAGGGATTTTTTCAGCCGACCATGTTCTTAGCAAGTGCTCTAAAGATAGGCGTTCACCCCCTGAAAACATATCGAAATGTAATGTTCCTAGGGGGTGAATGCCTCTTCTTTAGGGCTGTTAAGTACATTGTCGCCAGCTAACATTACGGTTTTCCCGTAGAAGTGAGACCTCTGTATATACCTACTCTGTGCCCATACGAAAGTGAGGGGAGCTTCTGTGGCGCAGTAATCAGAACAAGTGCCTTTCACCTCTGAGATCGTGGGGTCGATTCTCAGTCAACACTCTGCCGAAAGTCTACAGGGTGTATCAAAATAAACGCAATTCATCTTTTGTGCTTAATAACTTTCGAAATACTATTTCTATTTTTTTTCTGTGTTGGTGTTGTGTACTCAGGTGAATAATATGTTTGCGATGTTACTCTGAGTGCATATCCACACCGGGCGAGCTTGAAAAATATGCCCGGCCACGGTGGGATTCGAACCTATGACCTTTGGAATACTAGCCCAATGCTCTTCCAACTGAGCTACGCGGTCAGGACGGTTCGAGTAAGTGATATTTCGGAACAGTATCTAGTTCCTTCAATACCAATGTGTTCTTGTAATATGAATTTTTTTCTGTGTTGGTCTAGTATTCCAAAGGTCGTAGGTTCGAATCCCACCGTGGCCGGGCATATTTTTCAAGCTCGCCCGGTGTGGATATGCACTCAGAGTAACATCGCAAACATATACTATTTCTAGTTAAACGCTTTTAGGCTTACTTCAAAGCCTGTTCTTTTCTCTTTCAAACAAACTATTATCCTTGTCTCCAATGCTAGTAATAATTGCACAGGAAAAGATTTAGTAAAACCAATCATTTTTAGTTGCTGTTTAATTATGCAAGTTTACTATGTTATTGTTTAGTCGGTTTAAATGTTAGAATTTTCTTCTTTAAACTTTAATGTTGTCGTCACTACATCTGGAAAACCACGTAAGAACAAATTAAAAGTATTTTAGAAGAGACCAGGTTGTTTGAAAATCCTAAACGAATGCTAAAAATCATAGAATCAAAACATTCTGGTGTCTGAGCCATTGTGTCATCGAATTGCGATGTAATGTAAACAGAAATTATAGCAAGCTGATGTCAGTCAGCTTAGATGGTCCAAGCCAAAATTATATCGCATTTCAAGTTTCAAACTGTGTTAAAAATAGTGGAAGAAAAGCCGTAATTATACTTATTGTTACAATCCATTGATTAAAATGCAACATTTTTTTGTTTTAATGAAAAAATCAGTTATTTTCATGAGAACGATTTGTTATTCCATCTCAATTTTTTAAATCTCCAATCGCAATAACGCGTAAAGTATTATTACCCGCGAACCAATGAGTCAAATTTAAGAAACAACCCACTGTTAGAAAGCTGAATGGCTACGCTTTAAAATGAATGTAAACTTTAACGTTTTCGTCTATTATTTGTTTAGCAATTTACATTTCAGTCGAGGATTGCGCTTTTTTGATACACCCTGTATACCGAATTATTACAACAAAACCAGAAAACCTTAAAGCTCAAAAGGTATATTTTATATCATCCATATAGATAGACTGCCCATATTCGAAAGCACATTTATGATGAAAGTTTCATGCAATTCACTGTTGTCATCTAACATCTTCTTGATGTTACTTGGACTGCTGACAGCCAATAAACAATCGCAGAAGCTTTTTAGGAGAGATAAAAAAGGTATGCTTTCGACTCTTTAGTGAATAGTGTGTCCATGCAGTACCTATATCTTATCCTCAACCATGTCAATGAATGAAGTAGATTTTATCTCGGTTTGCGTCATTAGGCTGTTATAGCTGCCTATATAGTGAGGCGGATATGTGTAAAATTATGAAATGTTAAAATGTTAAATTTAAATCATACACAGAACATACAAAACCGCTATTTAATGATTTGAAAATATTAAATATTTTCAAAATTAACGATTACCTTACCAGCTTATTTATGTACCGTTGCAACTGTACTAATGATTTACCCGACATTTTTAATGGATACTTCATAAAAAATTCAAACATTCATGAACATTGCACGCGAAATTAAAAAAAAATGCATAAAGTTTATACAAGAACAAACTATAGAAAACAATCTGTTGTTAGTAAAGGTATATTGACATTTGGAATAATTTAAGTACGGAGTTAAAAAATATTGGATCATATATGATTTTCAAAAAAAAATGTGAAAACATACTTTATATCACACCAATCAGCTAATTAATCATCCTATTTTAATGTATAAAGTTTAAAAAATCTGAAAAATCTTGTAAATAGACTAACTTTCCTTTAAACACTCTCACAATTGTATATATTTTCGTTATTATATTATGTACTATTTTTATGACATCATGAAATTATACTAAGTAACAAAAGTTTTGTTATAACTAGGGGTCTTAAAATAAAAGCCCAAAAGGGTTTCTAAAAGATCTCTAGCCCTACGTATAGATTATAAAAATGTAAATAGTTAAATTTTATTGTACTTTGGAAAATTGGGCAAAAATAAATAAATAAAAAAAAAATTATTGATCAGTAGTTCCCGTTGAGGTTAAAAGCATCAAACTTTTACAATTGATGTAGTTTTATTTGCTTAATAGATATTTGAAGTGGGGCCATCGCTATTCGGCTGCCAACTCCTGAAAACGGGTGATTAGTGATTATCTTCTATTGAATTCTATTATAGCCAACACATGTGAAATTTTTTATTGAATTACAACAAATATGATTTGCATCATCAGAAAGCTTATAAAAACTGCATATAAGACTTTTAGACAGTTTTTTGATTTCTGAAATAGTTTTCGAATTATAAACTGTCAAAAACGCATTTTCAAACATCGAATAATTAATTAGGGACTTTTAGCGAGATAATGTGCCTAATTTACAGCAATAACCATTTGAAGAATAAAAAAACTGCTTAAAAGTCTTTTATGTAGTTTTTTTACAAGCTTTCTGATGATGCAAGTTATATTTGTTGCGATTCATTCAAAATTTCACATTTTTTGTTGTAGTAGAATTTAATAGCAAATAATGCTAATAGCATCGTAACTCTCTAAAAAAACAGTTTCACGATGGCCCCACTTTTGCATGTTGTTCTACTCATAAAAAGATGCTACTGTGCACAATTTGGTGCTTTTAACCCTCTTCGGAACCATCCATGCACATATCCGCCACACTAATATTATAGATTGATATGACGATTTCACATTTGGATGTTATCCCATCAGAAACTATATATGAATTGTTTTAAATAAATAACAACATATTTATTCAACACAGCAATAATAATAATATCAACATGTAATTGTTCGTATTTCCTAAATGGTTAAATAAGTTTTATTATTATTTATTTAAAAAATTCCTGGTTTCTAATTGGCTAACAGTCGACTGTGAAATTGTCATATCAACTCAATGGCTAACCAAATATGGATTTTTCACATTCATATTAGCAAAGGGACGTCAAAGATTCAATATGAAAAAAATTTGGACGCGTTTGCGCCATATTACTATGACGACGAGAATCATATTGACTCGCTGACGCCATTGATATGACGACGGCTGCCGAAGGTTGTTTTTTCTTAATACAAATAAAATACATATGGCTTCTTCCGTTTGTTTTTCATTTTTTAAATAAATAATAAAACAATTAATAAAACGGCAAACTTCGGGCTTGATAATTCTTCATATCGTGCTCAACCTCATTCAATAATTGTTAATTAGCAATTTGATATAAGATGATAATATTGTTACAACTTGTGGAAAAGCCTCACGCTTGTTGGTTTGACGAGATGTTGTGTAACTGATGGTTTACTCGTTGAATGGCTGAATCATTTGGGTGATGGCTTGTTCAATAACTGACTGACTTTTATAATTATTTTAATAGTTCCAGCTTTGGCATGGAAAGATATTATATCCAACCACAGTGTCCCTTCTGAAATCGACTGTTCATTTAACTGTGGTAATGAGCCAACATGTGCTGGATTTAAATACAAATTTGGTACAAACAGTCCATCAGTAAACTGCCAACTCAGCAACACTACTGGCAAGAACAACATGGCAAATTATGATGATCAGGGATGGGTGTTTTTTATCGATGTTACAAAAAAATTGGTACGTATATGTACTTAAATTATGTGTGATAACTCTTGAAACAATAGCGTGATTCCTTTCCGGATTTTTATCTCCATGACCATATGTTTCATTTTTTATATATTTAATTCGTGTTTTTTTTCTCAATAAAGCCGTGCAACCGACTTGATGTATTTAGTGTGTCACTTACAGTAGTATTAGCAAATATACAAAACTTGCATATTGTTGGTTTGATACAAAAGAGTTACTGTTAACAGCTAACGTAAACATTACCTAACCTAAGGGTTACTGTAAATATAGCAGCAACTTGATCTCCTTTAATCGAACAAGCCTCAGATACTTTTACTACTATTTAAAACACGAGCAAGAGTGCTTTATCAGATATACGGGAGCGTAGCTCGAGTGTTTTATATCTGATAAAGCACCGTTTGTGCGAGCGTCTTGAGCTGTCAGAGCCGAGAAAATCGAATGAACATTATTTTTTATCACATATAAAACCACCGATGAATGGTATAGTAATTTCCTTTGTCGTTTCCTCAAGAAATATTAACGAGTTTTTTAATGTATTTTAACTATAGAAACATTACAGTACTAGAACTAAGAAAGAAATGACTACAACGCCTGGTATTCCTACAACTGAGAAAGAAATTGCAACAACGTCTGGTATTCCTACAACTGAGAAAGAAATTACTACAACGCCTGGTATTCCTACAACTGAGAAAGAAATTACTACAACGCCTGGTATTCCTACAACTGAGAAAGAAATGACTACAACGCCTGGTATTCCTACAACTGAGAAAGAAATTACAACAACGCCTGGTATTCCTACAACTGAGAAAGAAATGACTACAGCGCCTGGTATTCCTACAACTGGTAAGTGCAACGCACATTTTAAATTAAAATATCTTCATATTTTTGTATTCCTATATTGATAATTTCGTTTGAATTCATGATTTGTAATGATTCGTTCGGTAATTTGCACTATATTAGAGAGTGCAAAAACTCCGAAATCTGAATGGCAGACGCAGAGCCGTCGTTATAGGGGGGGGGTGACACACCCTGAAAGCGTCTTGTCGGCAAAATAAATAGATTTATCGGCAAATTGTTTTCGTAGTCAGCGAAAATATTTGAGTGGCTCTTCTGACTGTAAAGTATTAGTTATAGAAATAAAATTAATAAATGTTACCAAAAAATAAGATTTTTTACCCCCCTCCCCGCTCGCCAACAATTTTGGGAAAAGAAATCTTAATTACAGACTGAAATGTTGTCGGCAAATGCGAACTCCAACCTTAGTCTCTTCGCTACGGTCCTGGGCAGACGGTATCCACGAAGGATTGCTCGAAAGGCGAGTCGTCTGCCACGCAGGGAATGCTGGGATAAGTAAAAATCTATCTTCATAATGATCAATTTCATTTCTTGAAATCTATTTAGTTCTGCCCCAACGTAATGAATGCTCCAGCTATTCATGGCTGAATGAAAGCAGCAGAAACCAGAATTATTCAGGAGGAGGAGGATATTGTGACGATGGTCTTTCTCCAGGGTGGTACAGATTTGGAGGAGGAGCTGGGATTAAAATGGCATCATCGTGTGTACCTGCGGGGAGATGTGGAACCGCTGTCTCAGGTTGGATGAATGGTACTCACCCAACAGTTGCTGATGGCAACGTGACCAGGATAGTGTGTTACACTTGGCAAAGTCATTGTTGTATGGAGTCAAACAACATCGAGGTTGTGAATTGTGGACAGTATTATGTTTACAAACTAAGCCCTCGTCATGGTTGTTATTCAAGACATTGTGGATCAGATAATTGATGCAGATTGTTCCACGTGCACATTATGATAGATTTACACTACCCACTAGCGGACTAGCACTAGACTTCAAAGATTGAACTTTGTTCAATTGACTCAATGTAAATGATCTAGCAAACGTCCATCCTCTAACAGATTAACAGACGCTCCAGTCAACTCAGAATCACACAGCAGCCGCCCTTCTCGATCAAGTCCGTCTTATTCTAATAAACGCCCCTTCCCATAGGGGGCGAATAGCAGACTTTTTAGTGAAAAACATTTCTTATAGTAAATCTGTAACAGCTATGAAAGTTGAAAACTCTTCACTCTGGAAACTTCTAGGAAATGTTGTCAAAATTGATCGTGAAACTAATGTGTGCAAAAACAAACACCCCCTCTAAAAGACCCTCGAGTTCCTTATCTAATAAACGTCCCCCGCTATTCAAAGATCAAAGATCATAAGCGTGTCGTGTCTTTATACAGGGTGTATCTTGCAAACCCTTGAAATACAATGTTTTTAGAATTTGCATGATTCAGAACTAATTGATCCCAAGCGTGCGTAAACACAATAGTTGACTCATTAGTTTTCTGCATTACAAATAACTTTGTGTTATTCTAATTTCTATCAACGCTGTTAATTAGAATTATTTTAAAATCCCATGAGGAGCAAAATAAGAAGCACACACATTGAAATGCTAGTACAATAAGCAGCAGAATTATGCAAACTATAGTGTTTGCAGGTTTTTTTATACACCCTGTATGTGATAGAGATTTCCCTTGATTTACATAAACTTTAACTTTGATTTTCTCGACTTACACAACGTATTTTTTTGAAAATTACTCCGCCAATGAACTTACTCGATCGATCGTTTTTGAAGCAATTTAAAACATTCGCAGTGCGTGTTTTATCAGACCTAAAGATACTCGGCTTCGCCTCGTGTCTTTATATCTGATAAAACACTGCTGCTCATGTTTTAACTAGCATTTTAAAACATGAGCAGCAGTGTTTTATCAGATATAAAGATACGAGGCGAAGCCGAGTATCTTTAGGTCTGATAGACTGAGAATGTTTTAAATTGCTTCTAGTAAGTTCATTGGCGAAGTAATTTTCAAAAAATACGTTGTGTAAGTGAAAAAAATCAAAGTTAAAGTTTATGTAAATCTAGGGAAATCTCTATCACATATAAAGATACGACACGCTTATGATTTTTCTTTGTGTTTTCCTCATGAATTATCGAGTTCTTGAAAATCTAATAAACATTCTGGGCGTTTTTTAGATCATTTATGTTATCCTTTCATTTCTAGTTGATTTTAGTTTTGTTGTTTTTTGTCACCAGTATAGAGATATATGAACAGTTCAAGTCGAAAACAGTTCATAGGACATAGACTTCATAATTAATAAATATATCATTGTTGCACTTGTATTGTAGTATTAGGGAGCTTATATACTGTACACCAAATCTACGACGCGGACGTGACGAAAAACTGCCGCTATTATCACAGTTTCACTTCACGGGTAAAAACTATGGATTGTTGTTCGTGAACAAAGCCAGGGACACGAGAAAAACAAAGCAAAACTAGTCTCCAATTGTTAGCGACTGTTTTTTGGTTTTAAAAGCTCCCTATACTAGCAAACTAAGCGAAATATATCATCTGCTTGGCAAAACGTTTGATTTCATATTTAATATTATGTTGTTAGTTTCATCCACGCCTGCGCGGCGACAATCTTCCACCGGAAGTGGAAGGGTATTCCTGCTGAAGGCAACAGAGTAAGTACATACAGAGATCTCACTTCAGCGGGAAAACTGTAAGGTAGTTTTTACTGCGCATACTGTATATGGCGGCCATGTTCTTAGCAAGTGCCCTAAAGAGAGGCATGCACCCCCCTGGGACCATTAAATTTCAATATGTTTTCAGGGGGTGACGGCCTCTCGAGACTTAGGGCACTTGCAAAGAACATGGCGAACTGGCAAAATCCCTTACGCTAAATTAACCTGAAGTGAGACGTCTGTATGTAATTACTCTGTGACCAAACACCGAAGATGATCTCCTTTTGTAGTCGCACTGGAATAATAGGAAGTTTAAGCTTCGCGTTTCCGGGAACGGCAAACGGCAGGCTCGAACTTTCTTGGCAAAATTTTCGTTGAACGTTTTCGTTTCACATTTTCTTTCTTGCGTCGAAAGGATAATTATGTACTTCAGTTTTAAAACAGCAAGTTCATTTACTCTGTATTGCCCGATACCGTAACATTTTTCTTGGCTGGCGTTTAACGTATAACGCGAAGCTTAAACTCTCTAGAACGCTACATTGACGACGTTTTATAATGTATAAACATACCTTTCCTGGCCCTGTATAATTACATTGTGTGTTATTCGGACAGTTTCCATTATTTGTTTGACAAGGATCAATTGCTAAATAAAATAACAATAAAATGTCATGCCTTCAGTGACGTAACGGGGGAAGAGGGGCCCTTGGGCATATTTGGTGTGGGGGCCCCTGTTGACTGTTGTCATTGTTTGACTGAGAGGTTATATTTATACTGAATAATTATAGAATGTTCTGGAAAATTCCATGTGTATAACAATAACAGTCCCCAACACATGTAACAACTACCAAGAATAACTTTTGTTTTATTTGAGGTGGAATAAAAAAATCACTACCGTTGTCGATGGAGGCTTTATTATTTAGCATTATTAATTTTGTATTTCCCATTGATTCTTAACCTGCATTCTTTATGTTTTCTAATTTTCTGGGAGATAGGACGTGGCTGATGGGGGCTCCTAAAGCCCTTCATGGGCAAACTAGGAAACATTGTTGCGGAAACATTGTTTCCTGCCAATGTTTCGCCATGTTTCCCAAGGTGGACAAACACTAGGAAACAATGTTTCGGCAACAAAAATCGCACTTGGGAAACACGAAATATTTCTGAATTTGATAGGAAACATTTCTGCTTCTCGGGAAGCAAATTGTGTTTCTGCAACGATGTTTCCACGGGTGGGCAAAACACAGAAACACTTGTGGAAACATGGCGAATCACAATGTTTCCGCAACAATGTTTCCTAGTTTGCCCAAGGTTTAACTGTTGAGGGCCCTTAGTTTTTGAACTAACCCTACCCAATGAGCGTTATGCCACTGGGAAATTCCCTTCACAATTATTTCATTTCTTTGATTGCATTATTTAACGAGGACAAACTTTTGTCATGATTTAACGATTAACGACACCTTTTATGTACTATTTCAAACACGAGGAGGAATGCTTTATCAGATATAAAACACGAGAGCGCATTATAAACACGAGTGCATTATATCTGATAAAACACAGACTGAGAGTGTTTTAAATGGCTTACAGGTAAACTACGTGAAGCGTTCCTCTTTTGAGTTCCTAACTCATTTTGAATTTTCATAATCAGCTTTGAAAATTTGAAAAACTCTTTGCAAATCCTTGAGGGAATTTGCAATTTTCCTGTCGGCCGTTGCAATATTCCAACGCAAAGAAAGTTCCTTTCAAATTTTCCTAACTTCCTGTTTTCATTTCCTAACTTCCTGTTCTGTTCTGAGCGTTATCATTGGCGGATTATTTTTGTTAGCCAATTACAACGCGCAGAACAGAACAGGAAGTTAGGAACTTGTAACAGGAAGTTAAGAACTTCTAACAGGAACTGAGGAAAATTTATTTGGCTCTTAGAACATTGCAAATTCCCTCAAGGGATTTGCAAGGGAGTTTTTCAAATTTGCTAAAGTAATGAGGAAAATTGCAATCAAGTTAGGAACTTAAAAGAGGAACGCTTCACGTAGTTTACCTGTAACTGAAAATGACCCATCTTATGAGTTCACTGGCGAAGTAATTTTTAAAATCAACGTTGTCTAAGCCGAGAAAATCAAAGCTAAAGCCCAGGGATAACTAGGAAACATTGTTGTGGAAACATTTGTGATTCTCGATGTTTCCTCAAATGTTTCCCTGTTTGCCCACCCGTGGAAACATTGTTGCGGAAACAAAATTTGCTTCCCGAGAAGCAAAAATGTTGCCTAGCAAATTCAGAAACATTTGATGTTTCCCTATGTTTCTCACTAATGTTTCCTAGTATTTGCCCACTCTGGGAAACATGGCTTAAAGATAATTAACCCGACTCCCCCTCAAACTCGTTCCCAAGGGCCTTTGCGCGGTTCAGAGGCTCTGGTATAGTTCCAACACCAAAGTCTCCGAACCGCGCAAAAGCCCTGGGTACGAGGTTGCCCCCCCCCCCCCCTATAGTGACGGCCCTGGGTATTATTTAACGAGAAGTCCACTCAGAAATTTAGTATCCTTTAAAGGACGAAGTCTGTAAGTTGTATATTAATTAGTGCAGTACGTAAAATTGTGAAGAAGTTGAGCTCAAATGATTGAATACACATGTACTACACAAGAGTTTACCTGGAGATTATACAGATATATCACCACGATCAAATAAAACAATTTATTACCTGTACAGACCACGCCATCTCCTCTGTAACCTTGGTGACAGACGCATTCATGTTGTCCAGGTCCTGTTTTATTACACACTGCATTTTTTCCACACAGACCATTGGAGAATTTGCAAGGATCAATTTCTGAAAATTTTACATCAACACGTTACAATACAAATGGTTTTACATTCAATAGTCAATTCCCATTATAGACTAATTTTAAAATACTGTACATGTATAGGCAAGGAGATGCAAATAAATCACCACAGCTAGAAAGAGCATACTAAAATCAGTAAAATTGCAAAGTGTGGTTGCGAAATTTTGTAAAATGTGGAAAATGTAGCCTTGCAAATACTACCACATTTGGGCCGAAAATGGCCGCAATTTCCGCACGCAATACAACAATGCTATTTTCGGAAATGGGTCTACAGGGTGTATAAAAAAGGAGACCTTTAGAAATCAAGCATATTGTTAAAATTTGAATGTCTTTTCAATTGCACATATGCTGAACCGCGGTGCGTGAAATATTGATGGGGCGCATACAGTATATCAGGAAAAAGGAGACCTTTAGACTTTAGAAACAAACCATTGTTTTAATTTGAATCCTGGAGCACTTTGCTAAGCCAACGAGTGCGTAACATGCGATCTACGTACAGTATGCATGGCAGATTGTTCCCAGGAGCAGACAATCGTTTGTTTAAACGTTATTTCAATTTCTATAAAGGTCTCCTTTTTCTAATATATGCGCCCCATCAATATTTCACGAACTACGGTTCAGCATATGTGCAATTGAAAAGGCATTCAAATTTTAACAATATGGTTGATTTCTAAAGGTCTCCTTTTTTATACAGGGTGTCCCAAAAACCCCGAAAACTATTGAAATCACTTATTGTTAAATTTGAATGCCCTACCAAACAGCTGGACGTAATGATTCGTAAAATATTGACAAGGTGCATGTATTAAAATTTAGTTAGGAATATCTCCTGGTATAAAGTGCGCGATTTTCTGCTCTTGGGAATTAAAAACAACTTCTTAAACAGTTTCTTTATGCATAAAATTTACTTATGTCAATAATTTATGCACTCGTGGGAACCAACAGAGCGCTAAGGCATTCAAATTCTAACAATTAAATTGTTATTGGTGATTTCAATAGTTTTCGGGT